CACACACACACACACACACACACACACACACACACACACACACACACACACAAACACACACACACACACACAAAAAAAAGAAAAAATAAATAAAAATAACGGAAAAAAGATCGCTCCATGTGGCACAGCCACGTGGCTGTTTTTTTTTATTCTTCTTTCTTTCTTTTACACACAAAGAAAAGACCAAAACACGATAAGGAAACGATTAAGCAGCCATGCGATCTCGAGCCTTCGCCTTCCCCCCCCCCGCTTTCCTCCTGACCCTCTCGCCTCCCCCTCCCAGCCCCCCTCTCTCACACACACACAAAAAAAGAAGAAAAGAGGGCAACGAAAAAGACGATCGTGCCTTTTAACCCCTCTCCCCCCATGTCCCCCTAACCCTCCCCACATGGCGCAGCTTGTGCCTCTTTACCCACTCCCTTCCCTCAAATGTGGCACCCGTCCTCCTTTCACCTGATCCCATCTCCCCGCAATGGCTGCACTTGTCCTGCGTTGCCCCGATCTTAAATCCCCAATGACTGCCACACCCATCTTCCTTTTCCCTTGTCCTTACTCCCCCGCCTCCTCCTCTCCCTCCCATTGCATTTGGATCCCGAGACCTTTTCCACGCTGGTCATCAAGAACCCAATTCCATCATCATGTCCCGCGGTCATGGCCGCTCCACTCCTTTCCCTCTCCAGTCCTTCCCGATGTCTATGAAACACCCGCGGACTCGTCCGCGGGGTCGAGCTCGGAGGGCGGCCGTGATCACGGCCGTCGCGGCTCCGGCCGCGGTTTTCAGGATTTTTTTTAGACTTTAAAAAGTTCTCAAAAAAAAACACAAAAAATATGGGGTTGTAGATCTTTTCGAGATCTAAATTGCGCAATTTTTTATTTCATTTTTTGACTTCGTCTTCGAATTTAAAAAATTCAAAAACTAATTTTCCTGAGGCAAAAGCTATTTATTTATTTATTTTTTAAGAAAAACTATGAAACTTATGTGTCTTTTTATTTTAAATTCAGTAAAGTTTTTGGATATGACCACAAGGCATATATTTTTCTGCATAACATTTTTTTTTCAGAATTTTCATTTATTTATTTTTTTCTTTTTTTTCTTTTTTTTCATGGTCGTGGACCCCGCGGGGTCGCGGCCTAGGCCGCACATGGCCGCCTCCAGGGGTGATTCATAGCCCGATGTTGCCCTGCTTCTACCCGATCAGGTGAGAACAACGAAACCACTATAGCCTGCTTCTCCCATTTACCCCTTCAGTCTCCCC